AATATTATCGATGCATAGGTGCAAGGCTAAATCGACTGGGTTTTTAATCTTAACTGGAAGAATATAGACTTTAATATCTGAACGTTTTTTTCACGGAATATTATCTTCAGCAGTTGAATTGGGATCATCTTAACCAGCTTTAGGATTAAAGAGGCTTTAAATCTTTACTTGGGAGCACATATAATTTAAAGAGTTCCATGTTCCTCAGGTATTAACAAGGCCCATATATGAGCTGACTTTTAATTTCAATGTGAACTGAATCGAGTTGAATAAATCGAGGCGCATTGAGCAGGTAGACCAGAACATATCTTGAGTGAACTGACATCGTTTTGGGCCTACGGTTTTCTAGTTTGGCAAACAGAATGCTGCTTAGGGGTAATTGTCGTAAATTTAGCTGATCCAATTCAGTGAAATATTTCATATTTGATATTTCATGTTCGACTGCGAGCTCACTTTAACACATAGTATATAATGGATCCGAAATTTGTGCCCCATTGTTGTTCTACTTGCATTTTATGACGTTGCTCTGCCATATGTCTCGAGTGGAAAGACAAGGCGGGGGCCAGTCCGAGCTGGGGGCGAGGCGCGGGGCCCCCAAACGATTACACAATAATATATCTTCCCGCTAACAATGTACCAAATATTATATGTATATTTTTACCACACTTTTGTCGCAGTCGCCATTCGGTTCTCTCTGTGTGTGTGTGTGTGTGTTTGGTTTTTTTTTTTTTCTTGCCTGTTGGCCGATTGAGGGGTTAAGTGTGGATGATGGGCGGGGGGCGGCCGGGCATACGGCTTCGTTTTCTCGGTTAGTGTCACAGCGGCGATTATAGACGACGCCGTCATAGTCACCCAAATACCTATAAATACATTTATTATGGTATTCTCCCTGCTTAATGACGCGTGAACGGCGTTTCTATAATTTACACAATTTCCATTCTGCTTAATTTGTGGATTTATTAATAAAGACGACGGATGCGACCTGAAATCGAATGCAGTTCTCAGACAATATATAGCCATATATATATAAATAAGTATATGCTCACATACATATATTATGTACAATTGTGTGTGTGCGCATGTACTGTGCATAAATAATAAAAGTCAACGATCATAAATGCCACGAGAAAACAAGCAAAGCTATAAATCTGTAGCCAACAACTACATAGTCGAATGAACCAATATATATAAATATATATGCATATATACCTATCTATATATCTATAATTATATATATGTATATCTGGAACCTTATGGAACACCTGAAATCAACTTCAAATATTCGAAAATATCTAAATTGATGCATAAGCATCTATGAACGTACGTAGTAACATTGTGATCTCAGGACCTCGTCCATAATTGATCAGCTGGGCGGGGCCAGGGGCGGTGGGTGCTCAGCGATCGGCAGCGATTATCTGGAGATCAACAATTGGATCGCCCACGCTAATGGCCAGGCCATTAACTTGGACAATGCAGCTATAAAGTTTAAAAGCAAATTCTGCCTTGCAGCAGCCGAACATGTTCAGCATCCCTTCCACCTCCCACCAGCCACCACCCACCTGCCAGCAGCCAGCAGCCAGCAGCCAGCTGCCTGCTGCCTGCTGCCAGCTCCCAGCTCCCACTGGCACTCCCGTTCCCATTTACCATTTCGATTTTCATGATCGTTCTCTTTCGTTTCGATATTGATTGCGGCCCCGATCGGCTCAAATCGATCAAGCGCTCCCCTCAAATATGTCAAAAATTGAAATCTGCTTTCTTTTTTCTCTCGATCTTCTTCTTTTTTTGCCTATCTGGATATTTATTGAAAAGGCACAGACAAACATAAAAGTGAACAAATAATAATTCTGGCCAAATGCCAGCACACAGAAACAAAAATCTGGCCCGCGTTGGCCAGCAGCGGGAGAGCGGGTAAAACGAATGGGTTGACGCTGGGGGGAGGCTGGGTTCGGCTTCAGAGGGACGGACTGGCAACGTGACGCCGCTGACGACGGCTGGCGGACTCCCCGCCAGAGTTGGAGCATTGGACATGTGTTTATATTTGACTTATGTGTATTTATTTTTATGCACGCGTGCAAGAGTGGGAGAAGCCAGCACGCAACCGAGAATCGAGAATCGAGAACCGGGAACAGGGAACCGGGAACCGGGATCAGGCAGCCGGCAGCCGGTAAACGCAACTGGCGCACTCGCAGTCGTCGCTCTCTCCAGCCTCCCACTACCCGAGCACTAGCTTTTGCACAGCATTCAGCATTCAGCCCGCCCACGCACTGGCCATGCTACATATGTAGTTATGGGTCGGTTTGTGCTTGGACTGCTTGGGCTGGCTGGGCTCCAGGGCCACAAGACGCTTGTTCGCGCACGACGTTCGCCTAATTGAAAATGCAAACTTCTCTCTTATTCTCCATGCACTGCGCACAGTGGGGCAAGTGTGACTGTGCCTGAAATCAATAGCGATTATAAATGCTTTTAGCAAAGAGAAACAATGAATGAATGCTCAAAAGAAATTAATTATTGATAAAAATAAATAATGAATAATAAATTTAAAAAAAAAAAAATAATAATAATAATAATAATATTAATAATAATAATAATAATAATAATAATAATAATAATAATAATAATAATAA